GTCAAAGCCATTCCACCGATTTTTTATAGAATCCAGGCTGGTTTTTAAACAGTCAAGTTTGTCTGAGCAATATCTTGGAGACTTCAAAGCTGTCATTTTTTTTTCAATCATATATCAAAAGTAGAAAGTCATGGCATCCTTCATCAAAATCCTGGGTCTGCTTCTGCTCCCATTTTGGTATTTCATCGAATCTTTCTTCAAATCCTGTCGGGATTTATTTGTGCCTGTATCCTTGCGGAACTTGAAAGATCTTTCTGCGGAGGTGGCTTTGGTGACAGGGGGAGGAGCTGGACTGGGTCGAAACTTGGCCATCCAGTTGGCTGAACTCAAAGTAACTGTGGTAACCTGGGATATTGACCAATCAGCCAATGAGGAAACGGTGTGCATGATACTTGACAATGGCGGCAGTGCATATGCATATACGGTTGACATCAGCAACCCTGAGGCTGTGTATGCTGCAGCAGAAAGGGTCAAAGGTGAAGTTGGTGAGGTGACACTGTTGGTGAATAATGCAGCAATCGGTCAGTTTCAGTCAATTTGGGAAGTTCCAGATGACCTCATTCAGAAAAAGATGAACATCATAGCCATTGCACCTTTCTGGGTAATAAATGTAGTTGAGTTTTATTAGCTAAATAAAGACAAAGTCATGTGTTGAACAACTTTGGTGAAATTAATGGTCAAACTCTTTATTCCAACAGCTTCTGCGAGCCTTTTTACCATCAATGAAGGCTCACAATCATGGTCATATAGTCACTACATCCAGTGCATCAGTCTTCATGGTACCTCTTGGGATGGGTGCACATGTGGCCTGTAAGAGTGCAGCACTTGGTCTTCATCAATCAGTCCAGAGAGATCTAGCCTTTGAAAAGAAGACAGGAATCCACATGACCCTGGTGTTTCCCGGTCCAATGGCTACGACTATGCGAATTGGGCGTATTGTAACTGGGTAAGAATGTATGTACATCAATATCTGCATTCCATCATCACATAAAGGGTTCAATCACAAATAATATTATGCCAGTCAATGACAACAAAGAAGTGTAGTTATGTTTCTTTCTTTTATAGGAAATCCAAAGTGAGGTCTCCTGAAGAAGTTGCTCAGCAAGTTATTCAAGCTATCCGCTTAAACATTCCTGAATACTTCTACAGCAAAAAGATGTTCTTGTTCTTCTTGTTCAAGAAGTGAGTACATGTACATGTAATTTAACAATACATGTAGCAAGACTGAAGTCCCATGAAGTATTAGTTTGTACGAGCAAAGAGTAAATATTGAAGACGCTAGCGATGCAGAGGATGCAAAAGAAAGAAACTCTATTGGTAAGGAGGAATAAAAGGGTGATATTATACAAATATAACATGGTTTGAGATTGGACAGTTGATGTACCTGTGTAAGTTCCCGAGGAATTGGGAGTTGACAAACTAGTTCCCGAGGTGAAGCTGAGGGAACTACATTGTCAACTCCCAATATCGAGGGGAGCTAACATTGACTGTCCAACCGAAATAAACCATGTTCTATTTGTTTGACCATACCTCATACATATTTTATTTAATAATCTCTGAAAATAAAAACATCATCATGAAAGAAAAGAAGAGTCCAACCCTTTTGCAACACAATCATTTTTTAGTATTTCCATCACATTTTGGACAACCTTCTCAGTGGAGGAGGCATCCTTATTGTCCACAATAATTTCCAGTTCGGCATCGCTCAGCTGAGAAAAACGCTGACTGCCTTTTATATGGGCCACCATCTTTTCATATGAGTGGCATACTGTTGCTAGGCTGGCACCACCATGAGTGGACAGTACACCAGGGCAACAACAGCAACAAAGAGTCCTTCATATGGGTATAAACGGCCATTAAATGAAATAATGAAGTTTTGAAGAATTTTGAAAATGGAAAATCTTGAAAAGGACCCGGCATCTTGTCTTGCTCATGAAAAATCCACCTGGCAGCAAGTGGTTAAAAGCCATTGCAAATGGATTGCAGTTTCTACTCTGAGGGTTAAAACTCATGACTAAGTCCTATTTTCTTTCTTATTTCTTTCCAGTTTTATTCCTGCAAAGTTATATTTTCTGGCGTTTCGGCTTGTTGGGGTTACATCGCTTTTCCTCAGTAATGCTGCAGAAGACAAGAAGGAACAGTAGACGACTCTGTCATAATCAAAATGGAAGCCATGACTCAAATCCATATAAAGAGGACAAGATGAATTTAAAATCAAAGTATGCTCTATTTTACCAGAAAACACGAAACCTGTAAACAACAATTCTAAATTGACATCTTGTGTGTTTAGAGTACGCAATGGAAATTGGACACACTTTTATTAAGAAGTTTAAAAATGTACAAGCTAATGTACTTTAATGTTTCTGAAATAGACCAACATGTGGGTGCACTTAAATTACAGGGCAGTTTTTGTATTTAATAAAATATCTCTTATGCTGCAGAAATACAAAACCTATGAGTGAGATTTTACAAGACAAATCCTGACAGTTTGATCTTGTTATATATGTAGTCTCCTTATACAAGTACATGTACCAGTAGTTTTGGAGCCCACCTACATGTAGTTTTGCTTGTCACCCTGCAAATTTAAAAGGTGGCCACCAAACTTTAGAATTGACTACCAAGTTTAAAATTACGAGCACTACATTTCCTCTCTGGAATACTTCATCTGTACAACATTATAAATCTTGACAGAAACAGCTATTTATGAATGTGTAAAACTGCTTTCAATTTTTAGGAAATAACAAAACAAATATACAAACAATTAAAAAACTGCCTCTTAAGATGCCAAGAAATGCATGAGATCTGAACAAATAAATTCATGGTGGAGGTCCTTAAGTGGGCCCTAAGCCCTGAACTAAAGCTCTGCCTAACCTATGCCTGATTTTTTATATGTACTGTACACATACAGTATATGTTTATTGGGATGTGTAATGTACTGGCATACATACAATGTAAAGAAATGTGAAAATTACATTTCAGAAAACTAATCACTGTACCTTGGAATCTGTTTCAAGACTTCATTTTTAAACATGAAGTTAAAGACAACCTCTGATTGGATCACACAAGTGCAGCCATTAAGCCTTTGATCAACAATGCCCATGGCAGATAACAAATAAACCGACAGAGACAGGAGAGTCTAAAAGTCAAAAGCGAAAAGCATTAACAGTGTTAAAGTAAGGTCGAGGGTCACAGTATGTGGCTGTTCTGTTACATGTACGCGTATTCATTGCATCCAGCATTCCACGATTCTAACCAAAGTCCAGTCCTAAAACCAATAAAAGTAGAAATAGATTGAGATTGTTAATTTTACACCTGATACTTCATACAGCTGATATCAGTAAGCAAACACACATATGAATTGATATCATCAATTATAGAATCCAAGCTGGTTGTTGGGAGTCATTTTTGTCTTAGCCGTTGGGACAACAAATCAGACTTTTAATTGTTGATTTAATCGTCAAGTTTCCTACATGTACATGTATCAATTTTGAGAAGATATTCATGGCATCCCCAACAGAAATACTGGGTCTGCTTCTGCTCCCATTTTGGTATTTTATCGAATCTTTCTTCAAAACCTGTCAGGATTTATTTGTGCCTGTATCCTTGCGGAACTTGAAAGATCTTTCTGGAGAGGTGGCTTTGGTGACAGGGGGAGGAGCTGGACTGGGCCGCAGTTTGGCCATCCAGTTGGCTGAACTCAAAGTAACCGTGGTAACCTGGGATATTAACCAATCAGCCAATGAGGAAACGGTGCGCATGATACTTGACAATGGCGGAAGTGCATATGCATATACGGTTGACATTGGCAACCCTGAGGATGTGTATGCTGCAGCAGAAAAGGTCAAAGGTGAAGTTGGTGAGGTGACACTCTTGGTGAATAATGCAGCAATCGGTCAGTCACAATCAGTATGGGAGATTCCTGATAAAATCATCCAGAAAATGATGACAACCAATGCCCTTGCATATTTCTGGGTAAAATTTAAATTTAAATAAACAAAGATCAAAGCAACACTATTATGTACTACATGGACATGTACACCATGAATTAGAGAATTCTGTGAAATCAATAATCAACTTAAAAGTTGTGTTTCTTGACAGCTTCTTCGAGCCTTCTTGCCGTCAATGAAAGAAAACAACCATGGTCATATTGTGGCTATTCTGAGTGGTTCACTGAACATGGTTCCCAATGGCTTGGGTGCATACATCTCTTCCAAGAGTGCAGCATATGGTCTTCATCAGGCTCTCAACACAGAACTACTATGTGAACAAAAGACAAAAATCCAAACAACTGTGGCTTTTCTAGATTTTATAGCTACAGATATGACAGTGGGACGACTGAACTGTGGGTAAGAATTTTCATGCACATACAAGTTCATATTACAGCATTTCTTTCACGCAAAAAGAAACAACTATTAGTTACATGTAGTTGCAAAGGTTTACTCAACAATGACAAACCATCAAGTTCCTTGATATTTTATTTGATAGGACGGCTGATGTGTTGCCACCTCAAGTAGTGGCACACCACATCATTGAAGGTATTCGCTTGAATATTCCTGTGGTGACATCTACTAAGACATCCTTCATGTTGTACTTGTTTAAGAAGTAAGTTCCATACTGTTTATACTCCCAGCAAATATGGAAGGGTACTCCCTAATGGTGCAAACCCCGCTGCATGTACGTGTACTTTCAAAATGGCAAATATGCCAAATGCTGTTAATATTGTAAATGAATAACAATCAAGCAATATAAAAAACACATACCGAGTACATGTACATATACATGTACAATACTCATTAACTCTAACCCCTGGGGTGTATATAAAATCATTTAGAAATTGAAGGATTGAGGACTGTGAGGGATCATCCTGAAGTAAATGACGACAACATCTGTACTCCCATGTGACGCTGTGAATGCAGTACTGTGCACAAATGTCGATACATGTACAGCTTCCTACCGTTTTACAAGGCATTGTAAGATAGAGAAGACTCATTTGACTGTTTTCGGACTAATTAAGCCACACTCCACCTGCACTTTGCTTTAGTTTGAAGCTAATGACCTTTCTCTTTTTTTTCTGGTTTTCAGCTTTATTCCGACAAAGATTTTTTTGCTGCTGTTTCGACTAGGTGGGGTTACATCAATCTTTCTGAATACGAAGGACAAGAAATGATAGACCTTTACTTTGAGCGTCCAGCGTACATAAACTGTGTAGAAAAACGTACTCAGTATTACAATTACATAAATGCATACATCTGATGTCAAAGTTCGTCAAGAAATAAAATTAAATTTGTTCTATAGCAACAGGTTCCTGTTGCTGTTCTTAACTCCTTTCTGCCTAGCTTTGAGACTAAAATGTGAGCAGAGGAATTAGGAAACCATGTCCAAACAATCTTTGGCCTTCAAAAAAACTTATTGAGTTGAATATGGGTTTTGGACAAATCTTAAGTTTTGACCATGTGTGAATGTGAAGCTCCAATCTTGTGACACACAAAGTCATCTTAAACATTGAAAAAATGGAGCACTAATCCCTGTCTAAAATCTAACATTTAAAACACAGTGTTCTCATCTGGAGTTATTGCTTTTTTGTTAGGAAAATACAAATCTGTTTGCTTTGTTCATTCAGAACATGTCATTCACTCATTGTTCCATTATTAATGATAAAAATTGCATGTAATTTTTTGGCAAACAGTTCTCAAATTGATGAAGACAGATCTGTGAAATCTGTGATTTCTTTTCAAGATAACAAAAAACTCCTGAAATTGTTGAAAAAATGAATGTAAAACTTTGGCATTGGAATCAGTATTAGAAATGTGTGATACATGTAGTTGCTATTTTCATGTAAGGTAAACAACATTGATGCTTCTTACAAGTACATTCTGCCAATAGCGGTGGAATGATTTCAAAAGTGAGGGGGAGGGGTAGTTATTAATCCATTGGGCATAAGCCATTAATAGGCTGATCCATCGAGCCCCATCCTGATATAAGACTCACAAAAAGTGAGGAGGGCGGGAGAAGTTCCCCCGTCAAAAAGTAGGGGGGGGACAGAGGGTGCACTGGTCCTCCATTTTCCACCACAAGTGGCCTTTGTGCCAAATACAAACCATGGGTTATTTTTATGAGTCATTTCGTGAATTACATGTACACGTAGCTTTATTCAATATTGGTGCATTGACCTTTACCAGTATTAATATGTGGCTGTTTTGGGCACCAAACCAGAATAAGCTAAGTGTTGGAACTGAAATATTCAGAAAGGTCTCATGATTGTTTCATTCCACTGAAGTAAAAACCTGTTACTAGTGACTTGGGTATATACATGCAAATGAACATGTATACAAACACAATAACAAACGGAAGAGTACTTACCACTGTAGAAGATGGTTTCTTCCGACTGTACACCCCCGCCCATACTCCCTGAATCAGCTGAGAGGACTTGAAGCAAGTCCATAGGAAGGGCAACATTCTTCTTGACAGGTGAGGATTCACGACTGACACATTGGTCATTCTGTTCACAGTCCTCCATCTTCTCATCGGAATCATCCTCTTTATCACTCACCACTTCTTTAGCAACTGCATCCTTGATGCTTGCTGATGCCTCATCAAGATGCTTACCATCATCTTCAGTGATGTGATTGAGGCTATTGGATTTATCCAAGTTTGGCTCAAAGTCTTGGCTGTTACTTCTGATTCCTGGAGATTCATTGGTGACGTCATCTGGGACTACAATCATGATTTTTAACGAAGATGAATCATGACTAGTTTGACTGTGATCATCAGGACTGCTTTTTACCAAGGAACTTGGATCACCATGACAATTACTTCTGCCAGTGATGGCATGACCTATGCTATCAGCATTTCCTTGACTGTCATTGTCTTGTCTTAGGTCTGACATTGGTTCACTGGAATCCTTACTTTCTTCATCATCAATGCTGCTGTCGTCTATTGTTTCTTCAGTATGCGAGCAAACACTTGCCTTGTTGCTTGATATGGGCTCGTCAGCATCATTTGTATTAATTTCAGCAATGGAGACATGACTAGAACTTCCTTCTTTGGGATTATCTCTAACATCTTCATCTGCATCGTCACTGTGAAATGTCTTGATGAGACTGCAGTACTCATTGCCGCTCTCCATCAACTTATTGTGTGTCCCGTCTTCAACTATACGTCCATCTTTCATAAGGATGATGCGATCACAACACTTCAGATACTGTGAAGGGTGAAAACCAAAAGAAAAGCAAATTATGAGAATTGGGAGTTGGAGGGAGTCATAAGCAATGAAAGCACTGAAGGGCTTCTAGGACCATTTTGGCTTTATCCATGATCCTTAAAGGCAAGAGCAAGGGCAGTATTTGGATTAATCAACCAAACCATGTGAGCGGGCTTATGGAATACATGGCTCGGCACATTGGTATTTTATGCCTTAGGTTGTTTTGCATCACTGGGTTCCAAAGACTATTGGTTGGTTTTAAAATGAAGTTTGACACAAGAAACACATATTGTGAATCCAAGAAATGGACAATTTCCAAACCACAGTTCCGAGACTCCAAGGCCAAAGTGTTGTCTTACCTGAAGTTGATGGGTCACAAATAGAATTGTCTTGCCCTTCAGGGCACCCTCGATACATTCTGAGAAGATGTGCTTGCCCACATGTGTATCTACTGCAGACAGCGGATCATCTAAGAGATATATCTCCTTATCAGAGTACACTGCTCTTGCTAGGCTAACTCTCTGCTTTTGCCCACCGCTGATGTTGATACCTCGCTCCCCGATCTGAAATTGGACAGGGACACCAAGACAACACATCACACCAGTAATGTAGCTACATGTAACTACTTTTTAGTGTAAGAGTGGGACCAGAAAACCAAGTCTATTTTGAGTTTGATGGCAAGATCCATGCTGATGTGTTCAAGTCTGAGAACCAAAAAGATGGAAGCACAAAATTCACATACGAATACTACTCTTAACTGTACTTTGATACTTTCAGATAAATATGACTGTGATTGGTCACTTTATACGATCCCTTACTTCAGTTTCATCTCCATCTGGTAGGATTTCTATGTCATCCTGTAAGGCACAGGCATTGATGGCTTGATCATACCGCTCCTGGTTAAACTCTGCCCCCATCAGGATGTTCTCACGTAGGGTGACATTCATGATGCACGCCTGCTGGGATACGTATGCAAAGGAGCCGTCTACTGCCACTTTGCCATCTATGAGGATCATACGACTCAAGACGGACTGTAGGAAGGAACTTTTACCACTTCCAATGCTACCACAGATCCCCAACAATTGACCCTGTGGAGAAAACACCCGAGCTATTAGCCCTGCAATATTCACTCATACCCTTGACAATGAAGGGTCATGGTACTGCCTATGATTGATCATCAAATCATGACAGGAAATGCAAAGGATTATGGGGAATCCTTCATATGCATAATTCAAAAAACAACTACAGAAACTGTGAGGCCATAGCAAGGCCTTCAGTTTGTGAGTTAGTGGGCAGTAAGTATCAGTTGGACACAGTTGATGTGTAAGGTTCACAGCAGTTTGTAAAGCCAAATTTAATATTACTCCCATGTGGTGTTTTCAGTAAGTTTAAAGGAAAGAAGCACAATGAACTTCAGAGCTAACACACCTTCCATACATCCAAGTTGATATCAAACAAAGTCTCAGTGACGGTAGAATCATGGTGGATCAGTGGATCCATCTCAGGCCGTTCATTGGCTTGATCATGAAGCCCCGTCTCCTGATTCACTTCATCCTCTGGGCTACCCGCTTGTGTATCTTGAATGTCTTCTTGGAGAACATCAGGGGTACCAGTGGGTTCTTCTTTATCCCAAGCAAAGGTGGCACCTCTCAGGCTGAGTGCCAGGTTGGGGTCACTAGGTTTGTCATGGAATTCTTTCAAGTCATCCATTAGTAGGAGCGACTGATAAAGAACGAGCAAAAACTTTCACCTTTCAGCAATACTTTCTGCATCCATGCAGCTGTTTACAAGTTTGACAAATTACTTTGTAAGATTATTTAACATGCATAATTATTGTTTTCCTGATCTCTTTTCATGAATCTTCCTAATCACACATGATTTATGTTTGTAATAAAACATCATACAGCATCTGTAGAAAGATACAGAAATCAAAATTGGTTGGTTCAGTCAGTAAAGCACTGATACTGCAATGCAGATGTTTGGGGTTCAGGTTAATAACAAGGCATGTTTTATTAGCTATCCAAAATTTCTCAGATCGTCATCAGGGAGGGATTACCTCTTAATGTTATGCTTTTTACCCTGATGAAACAATGGTAGACAGAGAACGTCACTGTCTCACCTTGATTCTTGGAAAGGCCACAAATGTTTCTGTCAAGGATTTGATGGCTAATGGAGTGGCAATAATCATGAAGCGGATGGCATTCAAGATCGCAATGTAGGAGAAGGCCTGTAGGTTAAAAAAGTCACAATTAATGGAGCTTCACATCTGTGTAAATTCAAACCGTATTTGATTGGTCTGCGAGAAAGGGTGGCAATATCGGGAAGACCTAATGGCTATTGGCTCTGAAAGTCAGCTTTATCATATGAACTAATTTTTATGGAAATAAAAAGCTATTAGCCTACTTAGAGAAGAATAAGTAGAAAAAGTGACTAACTCAGTTGACTGACTCATTGATTGACTGACTCATCGACTGACTGACTCATTGATTGACTGACTCATTGACTGACTGACTCATTGATTGACTGACTCATCGACTGACTGACTCATTGATTGACTGACTCATTGATTGACTGACTCATTGATTGACTGACTCATTGACTGACTGACTCATTGATTGACTGACTCATTGACTGACTCATTGATTGACTGACTCATTGACTGACTGACTCATTGATTGACTGACTCATTGACTGACTGACTCATTGATTGACTGACTCATTGATTGACTGACTCATTGACTGACTGACACATTGATTGACTACCTCATTGACTGACTGAAACATTAACTGACTGACTCATTGACTGACTGACTCATTGACTGACTCACTGACTGACTGACTCATTGACTGACTGACTCATTGATTGAATACCTCAATGATTGACTAACTAAAACCAGGGACTATTATTTTTCAAACTTTCAATTCTGGAGCTAAGAGTTATAACTGCCAGTCACTTGTCATACAACATTTCAGGTACTTTTGGTGGCATTTCCAATAAAAACTGGATATATAATAAATAATTTCAATGCTAAAATTGTCTCCTTTAGAAGTAGTCACAAATACTGGTTAAACATAACTGCTGTGTTTCAATGAGAAAAAGCTAACCTGAGCAGCAGTGATGTTATGTCCAAGCAGTGTGTGCAGGGACAGGGTCAAGATGGAGGAAAGGATGGGTACAAAGGTCGTCAGTGACTGACAAAAAGACTGGAAGAAACCAGCTTTCTCCAACCAACCTTGCTCCCTCTGACGAATGTCTGAAATAGAAGATCAATTTTACATGTTGATTCTGACTCAATAAAGATTTCAAGGCAGTTTAGTCCTTATACAGGTACTTACAATCATCTGTTCCCCTTTCCAAGCTCACACACCGCTTACCACACCCCTGTGCTTCCCTAACCACACCCATGTACATGTACACCTCTGATAACATTTAACCACTTGACACAGGATGACATGTAAACACAAATAGTTTTCATTATTTGTTCCACGGAGGACGTGCATATCATTTAACAATTCTTGTTCATTTCCAAGGTTAACATATAACCACTTGCTGCCGTGAACCCCGTTTCGGGCACCATGGGTTTACACGCAGAGCTGGGGTGTCCGAAATGGGACAAAAGAGCTGGTCAATGTAACAAAAGACCATCCATTCAATGAAATGATGAATTGTTGAAGAATTTTGAAAACTGAAAATCTTGAAAATCGCCTGTATGTGTGCACTGCATTTTTAAGAGCACCTGGCAGCATATGGTTAATGCGGTATGCTTGGCTGGGTCAAAACACAATTACAAGGTTGAAGAATTTGCAGGTAAAAACCCACCCCTGCAGCTTTTTCGGGTAAGAAAAACTGACGTCAACTGGTTAAGAGCACTCCTAATGATACCTTTAGACTTCCTACAACAGAATCCGGTACCCTCTACTCCACCTAATGCAGCCCTAATATCTACTACTTGCACCCCCAGCTAGACTTCTTACCCCCAATGTTAGCTTCGAAGGACTCCTCCCAAGCGTACATCTTGATGAGCTTGATACAGTTGATAATCTCGGACATTAAACGGACACGAAGGTCTGTCACAGTGATGGCATGCTGGCGGTAATGAGCAGTGATCTTCGAAAATACGCCCTTCATTTGGACAACAAAGGAAAAAAACAAATACTTGCTGAGCATAAATCTGAAATATTTCTAAGCATCCAAATTTAAATAGAAGCACCACAACATCAAACATAACAGACATGAATTCTGTATCTCTAATAATCAATGACCACGCACACTAAACCATCTCAAGTACCCCAGAAGTACATGATATCTGAGGCAAACTAATCGGTGTTCCAGGCTTTTATCAATTTTCAACAAGGAGATTAGAAAATGGGATTTCTAAAGGAAAGTGCACAGTCTTGCCCGGGAACAACTGTTGGGATCCTGTAACTATAAATGAACCCCCAAAGTCTACTGCTATTGGTGCTTAATAAGATGACACATAGGTACCTAGCCCTTACTTTTCAATGTTAGCCGTTTTCTTCACCCCAATAGAGGTTATGTGTTATTACGTCCTTAGAGGGCTAGAGCTTTGTATCACCGGTATAAGCTTGAGTAAACCTTTTGTCCATTCATTGTAACTAAATTAAAATAACAAAAAACAACCTCTGTGACACCATGGAGACACAAGCAATACATAGCCTCCGGATATACTTAAAGCAATACAAACTTAGACAGCTTACTTCACTTTCATTTCCAGGAAACATGCGTGCAAATACTACAAACATTCACAACAGAAATTGGATAATAAGCCCAGACCTCAAACTAAGAAATGAGAAAAAGGTTTCCACAACTCGTGACTGTACCTGTAGAGGATAGAAAATGATGAAGACACCGGTTCCCAAGAGAGCTGCTGGTCCAATGAGATAAACTGTGTATATCAGAGCCACAGCTGCTAGCAGGGGACCAGCTAAGGCATGTGGTAAATACAACAGCATGTCAAACAAGCGTTGGCCATCGTTGGCACAAAGATTCACAATCTGTTGAAGACAATCAGGAAAGAATTAACTCCAGATGATAAAGCAAGGGCAAGTTCAGTGACTGAGACATCAATGGTTCGTTATCGGTAAGAGGAACAATATAGATCAAGTCCCACCCCTGCAAAGTTGGTTCTTACTTGCTGTCTTAAACAAACTTCTCTCCTTAAACCAGGAATTCCGTGTTTCTATATACTGTAGGTAAATCATAATAAATGTATGTTTTCCTTGGAAAAAAACCACCAACAGAAAAATCAATATTGTAAAGTATTCATTTTGTCTGTTATGCACGCACCATCACCTACAATTATACACCTACAAGCACTTTTGCAAGTTTTTTGGACTAAGGTTATTGGTATGTCATGAAAAATTCATTAGGTTCAACTGAATCATCTTATTGATGTTAGGGGATAGTTAACATTATTAATTTCAGCCTTTGTCTGGATGATAGACATTCTGGAATAAACAATAAGCAGGGAAAACATGCAATTGGAACCAAATTTGGTATGAAAATGCAAGGTACATGGCCATATGGATTTCTACAGGATTTCTATCCACTTTGTTTTATGTACATGTTCATTATGCTCTTTTAAACTGTTGGAAATTGTAACGAGTCAGACTAAACATGAGAATGAATTAATTTTCAATGACTACCACAACTTTGTAAGCATCCTCATTCAATTTCTACTAAATTGATACATAAACTTGTTATGTAAAACCACCACAAAGCTGATAAGTTAATGGGCAGACAAATTAAAATGTATGGAACTATTTTACTAGTACTGGGAACAACTACCAATACCTCACCTCTCCAATAGATAGTCCCTTCAAGGTACGTAGCCCAATTGTCTTCTGATAAATCAAACAGACAGTAGCAGCCCTGACACGACCACCAGTTCGTATGTTCATGTACCAACCAAAGCTCATGAATGTAACTAGCATGACTTGGCATAGAACCATTAGCCCAGCTAGCATTAGACCATAACCTAGATTGGATGTTTGCTGTTGGCAGTACTCTAACAATAGGCGAACAAGCACAGCCTGTATGGACAAAGGAAAAATGAAAAAGTTGTTGTTATCAAGAAATAAATGATAACCAGATTTTGAAAGAAATCTTGGAGGTGTCAATAAACTAAAAAGTAACAGCAGACATAGCAAGGCAACTATGCAAACAGATATATGTAGGTAAATTTTGAACAATGAAAACAATATCTTCATTTCCAACCACTGATGTCATTACAGCAGTCTTTGTATGCCATTACTACGGTCTTTGTCTTTAAAATTCACAACAGGTTGGTAATCACTCATTTGCCAACCCTAGCAGAAGGTATTACGGATAATTTAATCAATCCTGAGTTCCAAAACTACTCACTGAAGAAACACAGTTTGCCATAATTGCAATGAAAGAACTCAAACAGCTGAAGATACTGCGCTTGACAAGAAACCAGAAATAAACTCGGGCTAAAGATGCTTTCTCTGGTCCTCGATGTTTCAACTCGTTCTGCCATAACCGCTCCAACCTAAAAAGAAACAATGATTTTTTTACAAATGAATCTTCAGGGAAGACATCTGCCTGTTATCTTTCCACCATTGCCCCCACCCCAAAGAGTAGGAGTCCACCCACCCCAATGTGTACACAGTGCAATCTCTGCCTTTAGTACAGGTCTCAAAGTGAATTTTAACTGATTTTTACAAAGTACAGATTATAAAGAAGTTTTATTAATTAATGTCTTTGCACAATCCTATGAGACCTGCCTGAAAAAACCTGTCTTCTGAGTAAATGCTTCGGAATTTTCGGAGCTAATTTTCACTTTTTAGGACATTTTATCACTTTTTCATGGCTGTTGTAACATTTTAAGGGAAAATAAGTGTTGTCCATATAATTATGGAACTTTTTCCAATATTTTAGTTAAAATATCTAAATTTCCACCTGTCACAGTTGATTTTTGCACTGTCATAAGGCGAGCAACTGAAAAGATCTTCTTTGCTCAGAGTTCCCTTCCATGCCTTGTAGAACACTGGAGTAAGCCAACAAAACCAGATAGTCGACAAGATGTTGGCCTGATCCATGGGACAGTGGTTGGCATGTAGCCTACAATGAAACAAGATATTCATTAAAACTCACACAAAGAGGTGCATGTACATATTCTCTGCCACGATAACTGGAAAAGAATCTTGCAGCAGTTATTTGTCAAAGTCATGCCAGAGATTCAATACATCAGAGCAACTCATGGTTAGATGAAGGCTTTGAGCTGTTTGTGCTCTTTAGAAAGGCAACTTCCATGGGTGTATAAAATGAATGTCATACACCCCAGGTAGGAATTAGTAACAACTGACAACCAAACTTACTTGCGCCGTTTAGTTTGTGCTTTCCTGAAGAATTTCTGAAACCTATAAACCTGAGGTGGTTCTTTGGTTGTGACTTTTGGTTCCTCAAAGTGTGCAACATTTTGTCCACTCGGTCTAGTTCCTTGTTTCTCCTGTCTATTCTGCATGGGGCTGCTGATATTCTTGCAAGTTTTGGATGATGACATCACGAACGTTTCACTTCTGTCTCTGAATGCATACAAATGTACATGTAAACTTTACATAAGCATAATGACAGGCCTATTTAAATTACCTAGGCCTACTTATTACCGCAAACTCATTGGTCAAATTTAGAACAAAGTAAAAAGCAAACAAACAAAACGAAAAACAGTGGTGACCTACTCTCGAGGCCTATGTCTGCATGTGCCAAGCCTTGCCTAAACATGTTACCGTGTGAATAACACATAACATGACTGGCATGACTAGGCCTACATGTACAAAATATGCAGTTGTCTGGTTGTGGTACATAGTCACCACCCCCAGACGTGCCAGAACTGTGGGATTTGTCGCCCCCTGCATGCACGTGGGACCACAAAAGACGACTAACCCTTCAGGCCTTCTTAGTTCTGGGGCAGTGTTCCCCAAGAACCGGGTCCAACGTCTGCCCTAGGACCCCACAGTTCTCGGGCTTCTGGGGCTTACAGTTATACTATATACCTGAAAACAGCAAAAAAACAACTGGAAAACACCAAAAAACACTGGAAACCTACCGAAAACCACAGGAAAACTACTGAAAAACACCCTTAAGACCACAAAATACCTGAAACACCGGAAAACACCGCAACTACCGGAAAACACCCTAAACACCGGAGAACACCTTATGCCTGAGCAGATTTGACACGTTCATGTGGAAAACAGAAATAGAGTTACATTTTGTCCCACACATAATGCGCATATTTCACACACGGCTGATCTTGTCGTTATATTCTGTATCTATTAATCGGAGAATGTATTTACATGTATGTTGCGTCAACCTGATTCTGACGTGATTATACCGGGAAGACTAGGATGATGCAGTTTCACAAGTCGGTGCGTGGCAATTTGTACCTATGCAACTCCGTGCACGGTTACAGGCTGACTTTGAAAGCCTTTTGAAATGTTTTTCCCGTCTTGCTCACTTATCCGTGTAAATTTCATTTGTTTGGATTTATGTAATATAAACATGTTACACTTTCTAAAAGAATTTATGAAAGAAAGTGAATATGTGACATTGTAAAGCATACACCATTTCGTGGAGAAAATGCACGAGAACATTACTACTTGATCACACTCCTGGATGGCGTGCTTGAAAAACTTACTTCCCAAGGACAGATGATGATGTATCCTCATCACTGACTGACTGAGGAAATAACATGCAACAGTGGACACGGTGGAAGGTTTGTAATTCACTAATTGGTTTTCGCGTCGGTGTTTTTCAGTATTTAGGTTGTTTTCTGCCAATTAAGGCTTAGTGTGTTTTTCGGTGTTTAGGGTGTTTTTTATGGGTTTTTTTTTTTTTTGTATTTTACGGTGTATTCCGGTATCGTATAACCCGGGACTTATGCACGGAGCATGTCATCACCAGCTTCATCATGGGATTAACAAGTTACTCACCCCAACAATCAGTACACAGTCTTCCTTTTTCTTCGAGAAACAAAACCCGTAAAGTAGATCATTACACTGGTCAATTGCTACATTGCTAGTTCCATTGCACAAATGAAAGAAAATTATTACTCAACTTCACTGATAAAATCAGCGAGTACGTAATACAACTACTACAACTTACAAGTTACATGTAGTAATAGTACACGAGCGCGCACCATCATGACGCCTTCACTTTCACAGCACACTGCCCTCAACGTCCAAGATTAGTCAATTCTTTCTTTGCGCTTAAATTTTGCCTTACAGTAATGCGGTAGCGTGGCGAAGAGTAACCTGGTGATAATCACTGTTTCCATGGATTCATGAAATTTATTTTGAGATATCAGGGGTGATATAGTGTGTTACTGTATGGAGACGGGACACCGCATTACTAAGGCAGTGTCCTTACTCGGCCTGCACAGTAAATGTGTACGAGTAAACAAATACTATTGTGAGGTCATTCGCTCAAGGCTCTTTGGCTCATATACTCTATAAATGTGCAGGCAGTATTATCATCAGAGGTCAGGTCATTTGGACTTTGAAGGAGAAGTGATCTGCCAAAAAATCGTGCGTCCATTGGTTGAACAACATCAGGCCACTAGTCGATAACGTTTATGCGGTCAAAAGTTAACGCAATTCAAATTACACTGAGAAATGAAAAGCTGAAGGTCCCTGTCCAATTACTTAAAGAGTAGCTGCAGGGGAATTGTTTTAATACATGTATAAAGTTCCTAACCGAGGCGTTAAAAATTCAGGAAATCTGGTGTCCTCTATCCTTTTCTTTCTTTCTTTCTTTCTTTTCTACAGCCGGCAACATTTTACACAATTGATTCAAAATGATAACGCGTAAAAAATGGCCAAGATGTGTTTCTCTTCATTATCAGTTCGGCTCCCGGGCACTGTGATAATATCACAGAGATTTTCCTTTCTGAAAACGTTGGAATGCAAAACTCCCTCTGTTCTGAACTGTAAGAACTGCTGAGCATATTTGAATACTATAAGGCAAATAGATCAACATCAATTCGGATGATTGGATGTGAACGCAGAGGTCGCTCCATAAATGTATGATTGTAGAGAGTGTTGACTGGTTTTGACATCAATAACGTCCCGTGGGTATGTGGTTTAAATTTAGGGCTGCCGGATCCAATTGACAAGACGACGCAATCTGAAGCAGACCATTAAATCCATGTTAGAGTTGATATCAGGAGAACCTGACCATAAACGCCTGCTTAAAATAGCTGATTAACATATTGATGTCTTTTTTTCAAGATGTATTTTTGCGTTGGGGAGATGTTAATTATATATAACAGTTTGCCCGTACCCAACGTATATTAATGTCTTAGCAAAATTGGACGAAATGGGATGGCCACAAATGCATATCAGTTTAAAGGGACGGGGCATTGAATTTGGGGTGCTCTAAGTATTGCGCAGAGCACAAAATCTAATATTTGAAACTAAAACTAAGTATGGTAAACACAAACTGATAATCAAGATTAATATGCATGTTGTGCGTCCAAACTCAATACGGGTGTTTCACAATAGTGCGCCTCCAAGAGTTTGCAAGGCGTTGACCAATCACAGTGCGCGATATCTGTTGACCCTTACCAAACTCATATTTGGTCGACAGATTTCGTGCACTGTGATTAGGCAACGCATTGCAAACTCTTGGAGGCGCACTATTGTGAAACGCCCGTATTGACTTGTAAACTTCCGCAAGTCGAGTAACCCAAGCTGGGTAAATTCACTGTGCGAAGAGCGTCACCAATCGTCATACTACACTGAAATTCTGTCGACCGGTTTCGTTTACCTGATTTATTTTGACTGCGTGGTTGACTCGTAAAAGTCATAAAGTCTGTATTAAGTTTAGAAAGTTTGCAGTGGATCAGTCATCCTCGTTCCACAATAAACTAATTACAGGATGTTATACCGAGAGAACCATGAAGAAACAGATGGCGCCCGGCATTTATATGCAACATCGGTGCCGTAACTTGAGACAGAAATGGAAATATGGCTCTACCGTGGTTAGAGTTTATTAAGGCAAAACCTGCTTACCATGCTTCTGTCGGTTAACCTGGGGAATTCTCAAGAAAGGGGAAGCTGTTGGGTAAAATGAGAACACTCTTATGCAGACTTTAAGTCGATAAGTCTGATTCGTTCTGCGGTAAGTGTATAAGGCCTATAACAATCAGGAAGACTTACGGTTGACCAGTGTCAAGAATAGTTTTGCTGATGAGAACCAAAAATAGCATGTTTTGGCGGTGCAACTAAATTAAATCATCCGCAAAGGGCGCCTCGAATCCTGCTTCGAAACATCAGGTCCAATAATGATTAAAATTGCACAAGTTACAGCATGTTTAAAAATGAAAAAGTGGCATGTGTTTCCTTGGTAACGATAAACACTACTAGGCGTGACGTTTGAAAACTTCTGGTAATTAAAACCGATAAGTTCTGGAAATATTGATGTTTTAATGAAGACAACTTGATCTGACTTGGCGCCCAGAGTCGGGGGGGGGGTTGAGGCGAATACCACATTAGCTCAGTTATCAGATAAACAAATGCTGCAAGACTCAAATTGCCTAAGATTTGGTTTCTTAATTAAACACAATTAAATTAAGTTTCTCATCTTTTTCCACTTTTTTCTTTTAATTTAATCTGTACTTTCATGCGATCCGCCACTCCAAGGGCAGAACTACTTCAATAATTGATTGAGAAGTTGCGAGAAGCTTTTTATGAATGGGGCTACCCCCTACTTTCAACTCAATCTATTAATAATCCCGTGTGCTCAATCATAGTTGGGTTCAACAGGGCAAGACTGATGAGATCTGCTCTATTTTATCTATAGGTTTGGAAACAACTTCCGCTAGTAGTTTCATGGTAGATATCTCGATCGTACTTCACATCAGATTTGAGGAACCGAAACTGACAGGCGGATAACAAAACAAAGTCATTATCCTCTTAAGCTTAAAGGATTACTGTCATAAGAACCTGTCATTAAAGACACCTTTGAGGAATGGGTGCCAGCCAGTATAAGCGCGCATGGACGCCGGCACCACGGGGTTACTTGGCCGTGCCGCGCCCAACTGTCTCCTTCACTACGCCATGCTAGTCATTTCCAGACAGTCTGAAGCTGAAAAGGTTTTCATTGTGTGAATTCTTGTGTACGCTTATTGAGGCAAGAATTTCGTGGTAACTGATTGTGTTAATTCTGAACAGAAATAAAACTGATGTTTTGCCAAGACGGGGGGGGGGGGGGTGTTGAGGGTAGACTGGCTCCGCAGTGGCGTGTTATGTTGACGCCGACATCCGCTATGGTTGCGCCAGTCTGGAATCTAGACTACGCACGCGCAAGCTGGCATATAATAAGACGTTAATAATTCAACCGAGAACGAAAAACCCTCATTACCCATAATGCAAAGGGAAAATCCAAAGTGTCGTCTGCCTCATTCTTCACTTTCTGTGAGGCCATTTAGAAATTGGATCGCCGTCGCGCAGGACTGCCATCAACCGCGGTTCTCTTTCCAACTGGAATTAAACGCACTTTGGATTTCGGAACTTCCATCGCAAACTAGACATTTCCGAGCTGGACCTTTTCTTTTACAACTCTGCCGACAAGTAAATATTCACCAGAAAAGGTAGGCAAGGAGTTTAAAGTTCAAGTTTGCTTTTAAACCACAGTGATGTGGTAAATCCACTTGTTTTTGGTGTTTGTTGCCATCTGGTGAAAATTTTAACAATTTCAGCAACTCAAATTAAAGTAAGGAATGTGCTCTCTGTGTTTGAACAAGTAAATTGACTTAAAACATTAACAAAAGCTTCAACTGCACAACTATACAATTTCATCAAGAGTCGTTTGGCTTTTTAAGATGGGATACGTTTCCTGGTCAGTTTATAGTCAGACTTTCTACGTCCCCTGTGAAAGATTAAGGACTCGCTCGAATTTTGTAAGCTGGCATAGCATGCAATTTTTCCGAAGGGAAATCTTGGGCTGAAAATTCCTAACTGGTGCAAGTCATACATTTCGTTCATAATCCCGCGACAGCACCGTCTGCTTTTTATGTTTGAAAAAGTTTGATATCACCCCATGATCACAGCTCAATCCATAAACAAGAATACAGATGGAAACAGCTGACCATAAGCTCAGACTTCCACAGATGTCGGCCGTGGTGGACGATCTCAGGACTTTCCTCCAACCAGCCCCCTAAAATTGATATACCTATCTGTCAAAATTGTATATGATAGCCGTCTATTCCACTTGTACGGGTGGCGGGCTGACTGTCTCGCTAGCTCGCCTCTGGCTGCGGCACGCGGCGCGATGTAGCGCCGGCTGGTTTGTCCTACCCTCACCACCCTTATCTGTCAAAACATACAACGCGCACCGTGACTGGAAACTTGTCACGGACCATCACACAACCAAGTTGACGTGCAGAGAATCCAGGGTCTACTACGCGGCTACCATTTTTATTACTGTACCTAAAGTAACTACCCCCGGCGACTGTTTCATGTTAAGAGTCAAGTAATGGTGCACGTAAATAATGGTTCCCGCCGCCATATGACCAACCTGTCAAGTGCCTGCCGCGTGTCACAGCACTGTTAGATAAACAATAAATCATAACGTATAGCGTGTTCATATTTTTAAGTAACAAGGGGAACATTGTAGACACTGACATGCAGGGGAAATCTATATTTTTGAATTGCCGAAGGATAAACTGGCGCATGGTGAAAATGATCAACTTTGCTTACTAGCTCTCTGGAATCCAAAAGAACAAAAAGGAGGTTGGAATTGGCAATAACTCGACCGTCAAAAGCATTATTTACACAGCAATCGGAATTTATCAAAGGTGAAAGCAGTGCAAACAATGCTTTTCAATGTGCACTTATACGAACTCGCTTTGTAAAATTCTTTCCCTCACCACTCAGAACGGCCTGCATGCGCTATTTTCCGTAGAGTATTTAACTTGGAACAGATGGGATCGTAACGTGAACCTATGTAGGAATTTTTGCAATCCATTAAGGTCAATATGCAAGAATAAAATAGCAGAATGACATTTTGAAATCTTGAATGTTTCTTTTTTTCTGGACACTTATGTCGGCAGTCACTGATAAAATGGCGTGCTGGCTTTCTCTACTCATCGCAACATCACTAGTGGTGACAATATATGCTACACCATCGGGAACGAGGCAGCCAAGAAATGGTAAGAAGCTGTAGTGTAACTATTACTGTAACCAGAATGTAATCTTTGGTTTCTTTGTAAAACCGCAGAAAATAAGTTACCATTGCTCAGATCCTGTTGTAAGGTGTTAGGTTAGGTATAGCACACTTTAACAGTTTGGTTAGATAGTTTAACCATATACTACATAACATTAACAATGCGTGGTGCAGGTTACTTGAACTTTAAAACTTGCGAGTGAAGACAGTGTTTTGTTGGTCTTAGTGAAGTCAAGTTAAAATTCTATAACCTGGAGATGGCAGTTTTTGTTTTGCTTTTTGTTTGTTTCTTTGTTTTTTGACGGATCCAAGTTTCAACATTCTTAAGTCACGAGACCAAAATAATGAGGCGACATTCGGTTCCAAGAAGGGTGTTGCTTTTGCTCGTGAGGAACTGGTGAATTCATCCTCCAATGAACAGTTTTCCCAGAACTTGGGTCCTTTTTGTTGCTACATAATTCCTTTGAATCGGCTGCAGTGAATAGGAGGAAATGTAAGTGCTCGGTTGTCAACGCCACAGTCCTGATCCTCTATGGACCGGTCAACCCTTAACTTCTGTCATATAGAATAATTATTATGAAGGAAAGGCGCACATGCAGTCGTCAAGTTTTCCTGGGTTTTTCAATTGATTCCTGTGATTATGGACACGCAGGTGACGGCACTACTGAGAAACTAAAGACATACATGTACTTTTCTTTACTGGTCTATATAGCTGAAGCCTAAAATCTTGGCCACCAAGTGAACATCACAGATTTTGTTTGTCCTCCAGCATAAAACTCCTATGATGGCTCTCTTCGATAAGGGGGGGGGGCTCCAGCGTCAAAACAGATGTATTGACATGCGGTCGACAATTGGTAGGGGTATAGTGGGGCTGTAAACACTCGATTGGGGGACTTGGTATTGTTGTTCGTGCTTTCTGCTTTTATTTTGATGGCAACTCGCTGTCTGGTGGCGGAGACTGGTGACCAATTGTCGGGGAAGTTTTTGACAGGTTTAAGAGGGCTCCTAATGGTTGAGCGGGGCATGCAGGCAGCGTGGACGTATCAGTGTATGTATTGAACACAGAACAGCCTTGTAGTTTTCAAAGACTTGGTCGCGCTTTGCTGGCGAGTTCACAAGCTCCTCAACGCCAAATGAAGCGATCGAAAGAACAAAATTTCAGTCGCTTGTACTGTCTTATTGACGGTTATTTTCTGCAGAACATGAAATCTATCGCGTACCTGCGGTTTTTAATTCAAGAAGCTCAATGACAGTTGGTTTGTATTTACACAGGGCCATAAACATTCTCCTCTTACAGAGGTGCTTCCAAATTTAAGCATTCACTTTAGTTGTTGATAGAACTCCACTTGAGTTGCAATCAGAAAAGAAACTGTTCTGGGCTTAAAACAAACAACGAGGACGACCCTGGGTCCAGCGAGGCGGCCGGTCTATAACGCCTACCGTGCCGGGCTGTGAAAGCGCGGCGGCCCGGCACACACTTCACCCCCAGGTCAAGCCAAGTGCCAAATTAGCGCTTTTACCCCGGCACCCGTTTTCGCTAGAAATCTGGGCTAAATGGGGCACCGACGGGTCTCCAAGCGGAGTGTCTAGTAGTTGTACTTTATTTGGCCACTTGCTTTGGGGACATATTTACGACTGCAAGTCTGTGTGTGTCATTTTTGCGTGACAATGTAAAATGTAAAATTCGGTTATGAAAATAATCGTTTCGTTGTACTGTCGTCATATACTGAACACGCGATGTTGGAATTCTGGCGACAACGTTCGTGTTCAATGTTTTCAGTTTTGCAAAACTGTTACGAACCGTTTCATTGCACTCTCCACGTATATTGGACTTCCAGCAAACAAAACTCTGGTATGCCGCGGCCGTTTGTCGTTATTTTTACTTAGGAATTACGAATAACGGAAAATCTGGACCGTGGCCACGTCTTTTTGTCTTCTTTTTTGGAGACAAGGCATCATAAGGCGCGCCAGTCGGTCGTAAAATGGATCCATTAGCGAGCGGAGAACCCATTTTCTTTGGTACCCAGCCTGACGAAGGTCAATGGTTTTTCCAAATATTTCTACACCCTGTGTTTATGCAATCGTAATTACGAAGACAAAAGGCACCAGCCTTTGTACAATGCTAGGGAGGTCTGCTTTCTGTCTACGCAATCCACGCGATGTCAGACATTAAAAAAGGAAAATCCACTGGTGATGAATAGAAATTAATGGTTGAAAATTGTGGTTGGAGCTGAGCATATTGCTATCACGTGTTATGATCGGTATATTGCTAATTGTTCAGGATGTTTTTTATGGTAAGCATAATTTATTTCATAGCAAATGTACACGATTGGCGCTAAACTGTACTGTACGGTGTAATGTATTGAGTGGAACTTTCGGAGAACAAAGCACGGTTATATTCTTTGCAAGATGAAACTTAAAATGACGTTTTTCACTACTGCATGAACTTTGAGGCAAAATTTTAAGAAGACCTTAATAAATAGTATTTGCTGTACAACACTCATAAAACAGTCGTTCCTTCTGAAGGTGAAAAAAATAGAAACAGTGGTGCACTGCGGGTAGGCAGCCAGAGCTTATGTTCATTAAACAGTCGTCCGGCCAGAGAACTCATCAGCTATCTTCTACACCAGTTATTGCATCCTGTCTCGATTTAATCTTCCATTCCCTCCAAGGCTCGAAAGGAGTACCGAATATAAAGATGACAGATCTCGGTCAGTCAACATCATCGAACAACACACTTCAAAATAAATCTGGGAGAACTGAAATTGTTCTTTCCTCGGAAAGAGGATGAATTCAAGGAGATAAAAAACCCTCTTCGTGATGTGTTAGCCTGCTCTCCAGGCGTCATGTATGACCCTTTTGGTTATAGTTCTGTCTTTCGTTTTCCGTTTCTCCTCCCTCCATCCCGCACTCTTGTTTTAATTAATCTTCGTAAAGTGGGCCAGCCCATCGTTTTCCCTCGTATACCATAACACACAGTATTGAGATGCACTTAGGCTGTGGCGCCCGCTCTGCCTGGTCCGTGTGCCTAGATTTCAAGTGATGCGTGGCTGACATCTTACTGGTCGGAAGACAATTTTCCGAAACCGCGAGGGAAACCCAAGACGTTGGTGGTCAAGATGGTAAAACCAAGCACAAAAGTTCTGACAATGTCCTCCCTGCTCAGTTTGTTGACCCCTTATTATCCAAAGCTGTGTGGAGCCAGTGTCTTGATTCAGTGAACGATTTGATCGATTCGACAGGGATGAAAAGGAAGTGGGCTTCTGGTTAACCATGGCATAAAAACGATTGATTTTGGACCCAGTAAAGTAAAATTTATTAATTAACCAAGAGCCAGATTGGTAAATTAAAAAATAAACACCTAGTTTCACTCGAGAACATAGAAGACAGTTAGCACAAGAGTCAAAGTTTAATCTTTTCAATTAACTACTTTTTGGTTTTATAGATGTATGTCAGTTTGGTAGCACCCAGTACGTAATAGGTGATAGCTGGCATCCCTACCTACGCCCTAATGGTATCGACTATTGCATTCTGTGCTCATGCCATGCGGCAGGGCAGGTTCGGTGTGACGGTAAAACGTGTCCGTATCCCACCTGTGCACACCCAAGACAAGTCCCCGGACAGTGCTGCCCAACATGTGCCTCGGGTAAACTTTATTGGCGACTTTGTAATTTCTGAATAATACTTTCTATTATCAAACCAACATCGTCCAAGTGGTAAAGCTTGGCAAATAGCAGGTCAGTTATGAATATTCTCATTGTTGCAACCAAACAAATGCAATCACCTGATGGAATTATTTGCACGTCCAGATTTTTAAACAACCACAGTGCAACCAACTATTAACTTCAATATTGTCAGTTAGACACCTCAATAAACTTCTCAGTGATTATAATTCATAACTCTCCAACAACATGACTATTTCTTCAGAATTTGAAGCCACTACGGTACAACCAACAACGACCCCTCAAAGTTGCCAGTACAAAGGCAGGGAATATGAACACGGTGAGCTCTTCACAGCGACGGACATATTTCGTTCAAGACGAGACGATCAATGTGTCCAGTGCAGCTGCTCGGTAAGATCCAAGACCTTCCAAATTCCAATTCGATGCTCCAGTTTTCCACAAACTACAACAGAGTTTTATTTTAAAAGCAGGACAGTGTTCAAACATTTCCATTTCTCGGCTACGCGCAAGAGAAAGACTCCCCTATAAGGTGTTGAAACACCCAAATAGACCACTATCATTTTGCCTACAACTTGTATTGACAGCTAAAGTTCCCCAAAATATCACCTTTTGCTTCTGGTTGGTTTTCGAATCCCAAATTATTTTTCTTTTGTACTGACAACCAGCCATGTAGCTTTAGCAGCCACTTGAAAAAAAAGTGACATCAAAAGAACAGACTCTTTTTATTAGCAGTGTCAGAATACAGATTCGTAAGATACTGATATCATTATCAAGGTCATGGTTCATAATTTGGACGACTTTGAGTCCGACTTGGCCTTCATGTCTTCATCCTCTGTGATGTTGAAATCATGGTTCTAATATCTATCTGCAGGCAGGCAGGGTGTATTGTGCTTTGAGGACTTGCCCAGAAATTCCATGTGCCAATTCAGTCGTTTTACCGGACTCTTGCTGTCCAGTTTGCCAAACTACAGGTAGGTTCATCGTCCTTGGAATTCTTAAAAACTTGAAGGGCATTGAGGCTCCCTGAAGGAACAACAAATTGAATTGGTAATTGGAAACTACCAGGTTCTTACTAACTTGAGGCAGTATCAAGGTACACCTCGAGATAATCTATAAGCCTACTGAATAGGATCTATGAGACTTCAATCTAATAGCATATTTGTAATTTCGCTCTATAGACTTATAAAGAGCAAGTAAACTTCCAAGGGCGTTAATTCTTCAAAAAAGTGAGATAAAACGCACAATTCCAAATGTACAATACAACAATTTTTAGATTTTTTTTATTTTAAAACTAAATACTACAGTGTCTTCAAAATGACAATTGTTTTTAAAAATCGTTTTGCACCCGCAGCAACTGAAGAAGATTACGACGGTGAGGATCTGAATGGGGGAAATGCACTGGACGAATCTATTGACCTCTCACCTGATGAACCCTCAACCGAAGGATCTTTCCCAGAGAACACAGCAAAGGTGCATCTAGATGAGGACAACATTAAGGCCTCGGAGCTCGATCCCAGCCGATATGGTAAGTTGACCATGTATGACGTGGCGTGCTGTGATTGGTCGAGTGTTTACAGCGCGTACTCTGATTGGTCGAGATGATAAATACTGTAGCCAATACTAGCCTGGTAAACAAAGTTCTAAACCTTTGCATCAATGTAGCTGACTAAGTTTCCAAACACGAATTCGAAGCTGGGCACTTCCATGTATAGTTCATTATATTATTTATTGAACTAAAAACCGAGTTTGCGCATTTACAAATACTCTCAACGATTCGATAGTTGCTTGGAGGATGCCTGGACACAATTAAGACTGAATAGCATTGTGAATGAAATATTGGGAAAGAATGGTAGGGGTTAATCGGCTGAGGACACAAACTTAAAGAGGATCGACTCTGCAGGAGGTTCTACGGAAACCATCAAATCAGTTCCCCGCAACGAGAATGGCATTGACGTGAAACAAGATCATGAGCCATGGGCAAATACCGACACCTCTGATTCCATCAGGTATTCCCTCGCTATACGTAAATTACACGCGGGCGACGTCAATGCGCGTGCCACAACCCAACATGGGAACATGACCAACCCGAAAACCGCACGGGTACGCCAGGAAAACATGTCATCACATTACAATGTTACTTCTCCGAAAATAAGGTGTGACTTCTGCTTAAGGCAAGGGTGCAATCAGCAAACTAGAACAACTCCAAGACATTATCTCTAAGGAGGCTCATTGACAAATAGTTCAGAATGGTATTTTCCCCCACGTGTCGTTTTGATGTCGACTCGCTGGGAGCATTTTTCAAATAAAAACGGATGTGGGGGTACCTTAAGTGACATTGACGAGCTAAGAACAACCAAAAACCAAACCTAAGAACAAAACAGCGAGGGATAAAACAAACAACCTGTCAAAACTAAAATATTTGTTGGCTTTTCCAATTGTTTAATTCAACTTTACAAAATTATAGCCAGAAGGGGAGGCATGCCAAAAGTTCGCTTACTGCTTCCAGGGTGCAGAAAAGATTGACAGACTATTTGAGCAAAATTGCACAAGCTTCGCAATACCACATACCATTTAACGCTGTCAAAAATTCTAATTAATTCGTTGTGACCGCAGGCATTGTCAATACTTTTGAGGTATGTAGTCTCCCTAAGGTGCTTGGATGAGAGACGTGGTGGGGTGGCGGTTTGCTGGCTGTATTTTTCCCCTAACTGCCGGCATTCATTTTATCCGGAACAAACGAGATGTGAACGCTGGTTAACCACAGTAATTCAACCATCACAACCAGCCAGGTATAATCACAACAGACTGACACCCATTCCAGGAGGATTTTAGATACAAAGAAAAGAAAATAAATTATGAAGGAGACGAATCAAGGAGGAAGAATTAGACTGCAGAACACAGTAAAAGGAAAGATTTCACCTGCGAAAAAATGAGAGAGTGACGATTGACTGAATGGCAAGAACACTGAATCAGTGGAAAGAGGCCAGAGATATACCCCTTCTCACCTTCAAGAGCTCCGCCCTTTAGTTCAGAAACAATTAAAATGGTTTAGGCCAAGGCCAAGCTGTCAGCGACGTCAATGACCCGTCCTAGTTCTAAGACACATTCTAAGACATTGTTACAAACAGAGTTTCTTTCAGCGAGCGAGTCTCATGAAAGGAAGGTGCAACAGACTGGATTTTCTTTACACACAAATCAACCATAGCGAAGAAATGTCAATGCGGTAGTGCAGGAGAACAAAGTGAAAGAGTTCCACAGAGGTCCATGTAAGACAAGCGTGAGGTCTAAAAACTTGCAAGAACTTTGAAGACTTCGGTGGGAATAGAACCCTGGACGGTCAGTGACAGTACACTAAGGTCTGCAACATGGTAGACAGAATTTCCGTCACACTTTCTATAAACTGAAACTGTCCTTGAGATTACCTCAGCTTAACGCGATGTGAAAATCTATGGAACGCCGAAAAAGCAAAAGCTCAGAGGCAACACATCGATTGTTCTGTGACATCGATCGATTGTTTTTGAACATCGATCGATCTATCCCCTACGTCGATCGATCATTCTCTTGTGATCGATGAAAAAGATCGATGGAAAAGGAGCCACGGAGAAAGCGCCATGTTAAAAGAGCGATGAAAAAAGAGCGACGGAGAGAGAGTGATGTAGGAAGATGGGAGGGGAACGATGACGAAGGTCGATGAAATTACATCGATGCGAGCGGTGCACAATATTATTGTATGTGTGTGCGCATGCGTATGCACACTTCCGCCGTACTCAGTATCGCAACGGTCCGCATTTCTTGGGGGAGGAGTTACATAAGCGAGCCTTGGCGTCGCTGAGCACCAGATAAGAGTATTGTACCTCTACGTGTTGACAGGCGTTACCCATCCATTACCGTGGCCTTACAGGAGACAGGTGTGGACTTCCCAGTTATGTATAATAACATTGAAGAAAAAGATAAGACTTGAAGGTTTCATGGTGAAAGAACTATATAAGTAAAACGATTGCGGTTACACCATGGATCAATCTCTTTCTTGAGTATGTGTGGTTCTGAGAATTTTTTTTACATAATCTATGGTACTATCCTGGAACTCAACTATGCACAAATATTGGTATCACCATCAGTGTGTTAAAACTGACATCAACCAAAATTTTCTCTCCATGCTGATGACACTAATACATTACAAAACATTCCAACACATCGGCGACCAGAGCCCTCGTCTATAAAGAGTAGCCCTGGTCAGCCGATGACCAATATTCTTTCCCCTCCCTATTATAAACTGTCATTCAATTTTCTTGGAATAATCCTGCATAGTCTTTCAAAAACTCGAAAACCAATCAATTATTCTTTGAACTTTGCTTGCACAAATCGGTTTCCCTTGCTGTTTTCTTAGCTACAAAAGATTTCTTGTCAAGAACAAATCTGGAAAACACAAAAAAAAATGCATGGTGGCGGCCAATTCCACTTAACCCCTCCAACCAACTTAACACGCTGAGGCGGAACAGTGTGTATACGCATGCGCACACACATAAAATTGTGCACCTCTCTCATCGGTGCAATTTCATCCTTCACCATTGCTCCCTCTCCATCGATCTTCTTTCATCTCTCTCTCTCTCTATCGCTTTTTTCCATCAATCTTTTTACCATCGCACTTTTACCATCGCTTTTTTCATCGATCAAAAGAGAACGATCGATCGATGTAACAGAACGATCGATGTGTTGCCTCCGAGTTCTTGTCTCTTTTGCGTTCCATACATATCTTGTACCGGCACCACTCCTGCCTCGGCTCAAGAGTCGACTTTTGTCGTCAATGACAACAGCGTATCGCCCAGAATGAAGTGCCTTGGCATTTCCGATTCAATTTGCTTTTCATGCAGTTACTTGGGATACAGTGTGAAAAAGATGGATTTATCCTTGGTTGACTCACTTCAGGCGTGTATTCAGACTGTAGAGTCTTCAACACGGTGAAGGTGTGGAAATGCTAAAGGTTCATCGAAGGTTCTGAGATCTTGAAACTTAAAGGTTATTAGGTGAGAATAAAACTTGGAAGGAGAGACAAAACAGTCGCACAAACTCCGGTTTTTGTTAAGTTTTTCGCTCAATGAATGGGAAGCAATTAAACTACTACATTTTTCATCTCTACAGAGCCAAATTACAGAGAAAGCAATGTGGTAAAATATAAAGAGCACATCAAGAGACATCGCAACAAATTAGAAAAAAATATTAAGGAAAACGAAAACGTTGTCAGTGTGACTACGGCATACACATTGCACGTATTTTGATTGAGTATACAACTGTTAAACTGCGCCTAAACGAGCAGTCACGGCAGGCGATTTTTCTTTATTTTTCTTGGGCTAATGAACTTTGGGCGACAGTTAGTCCGAGCGGGAATCCAAGTACGATACCCAAGCTGAGCTGGGTTGTCAACGCTAGGCCATGTGAGGCGCGGCCGGCCAGTCACAGCGGAGCCAGGCAGGTGTTTCGCCTGATCTGCACGGTGCCGAATTGGTGGGAAAGAGTCAAGGAGCGAGGCCGTGCGGAGCACGGTGTGGACGGTCGCAAGGGATCATTGTCTCTGGTGTTTGGTAACTTCTGTCGTGTGTGTGTAAATTAAAATGAGGTCAGTAAACTTTCCTGTGGTTCGGGGCGGATCCAGGAGAGTAATATTTTTCTGAATCAAAGTGGATTTGAGGTGCGTGTCCTTTCTGAAACTTGAAGGAGATTTACCTCCAAAGTGAGCTATCGGCAAAACCAAAATAGCGGTTAAAAAACCCAAACAGAAAATTAGGGGGAAACTTTGAATTATCTGAAGATGTATTCTCAGGTCTTCTGCACTAAAAGCTGGATCGACGTTTATTTTTCCGTGGACATGATTTCTGGGACAGTGAGAAGCGACGCAGCCTACAACTGTTGGAAAAGTTCAGACGGGTAGCGTGACTCTAAATTTAGGTCGCTTTGTCGGATGCAAGACATGGAGGGCAAAAAATAATAATTGATGCGTGTCAGCCAAAGTTCATGATTTACGCAGCGAATCTGGTGTACATCAGTGTATGAATAACATTCCACAAATTTCTGGAAATAACGGCCCCGAGTGACTGGACTCATCAGGGAAAATGTCATAAACAGTTGAGCGATAGGAATATCAGGCGCCGCTATTGGCATACTTTGCATGCTTGTCTCCTCAACAATGAGTGGATACCATTGTGTAGAGAATTGGGGGGTTTGGGATGAATAAACAATGTTTGGTGTCGGTCGCCTAGGCGGGTGAAGGGCATGGTCAAGAGTTACTGTATAACTATACTCCACAATATTGTGAAGAAAAAATTTCAAAAATGTCAGTATGTTTTGCCGCAGACAGATCTTTGATTAAGTTAAGGGGGTTAACGTCCTTGGTGCGATTGGCAACATATCTACATGAAATTCCCCAAGCTTTAACAAAAGTTATTTGGTATTTGTAAAATTTTTAAGACAAAATAAAAGACTTTATAAAGTCTTCGTATAAAACATTACACAATGATTTTTCATGTAGAACGCCCGTTCTTTATACTCTTATTGCTGTGACGGCTCAGGCCAGATGCTTTAACTTTCTTCGTTTTTTTTTCATCAGAATCCGCATTGTAGACTGAAAACGAAAATCCCCAACATGGCCTTTCGTGAAAACCCTCCATAGCAGGTGCGCAATAAAACCCTTAATTTTCCACTTCCCCTACAGTTTGTGTATCTAATGGCAAGACGTACTACGAAGACCAAAGTTGGCATCCTGTATTGGTTCCATTCGGACGCATGGACTGCATTCTCTGCACCTGTAAGGTACATCAGAAGCCACCTTTATATTTTTCCGACGTGTGCTTCGTGATCGAAAAGAAGTTAAAGTTTTTCGAGAACTCACAGATAATCAAACAAAATTGTCAGGCAGGTTTGCGTAAAGCTAAATATACCCCACCTCGAGGACTTCTAACGGGGGGAAGGGTGTCATTTTGGGGGACAAGTCGTCTAAATTCACAGTACCAGAAAAAAAAGGTTAGTCCTCTAGTTATCCCTAAACTAAGTATTTTCAAGGGAAGCCCATCACCTCAGATTTAATCCAGCCTCACATAAACTTTAAAACCATTCCTTGTTTGGTATTACAGCGCGGGGAGGCAGTTTGCGGGCGGATGCGATGCCCCAACGAGGAGAATTTGCCATGTGCAAACCCCATACAGCGCAGGGGTGCCTGCTGTAAAGTATGCCCAGGTACGAATTTCACTGGATGTGTCTATGAAAGGCTGAAACTTTGTACACCGATATGAGAAATCTGCATTAGATAAGAAACAACGATCTACAATGAATGGTGCTTTTTAGTTTGACTAAATACTGTTTTCTCTTGATTCTTGGCTGCATCATGTCAAATGATAAATATGTACACCACAAATCTCCATTGTCACTAAATTCAAATTACAGGTTTTGCCCTTACCCAACATATACATATTTATAAACATTGTATACTCAGTGATTGTCCAAGAGCTTGCAAAAAATTTACAAATTTATATATGTTGGGTAAGGGCAAAACCGGTAATTTAAATTAAAATCTCCCAAATGCGTGTCATGAAATTAACAAACAATAGTGTCTAACAAAATGTCTAGACAACTTAAACTTCACAGAGAAAAATGGATATAAACTTAGCAGATCTCGACGATTTCTCTGTTCCATACTCATTTATTCTCTAGACATTCAGACCCCATCCACGGGTTCATCAGACGAAAATCCTTCAGAAGTTGAGGAAAATGATGACACACCTCTTTGTCTGCGCAAATCAGAGAAAATTCTCCTGCATGAGTTTGCTCCTTACTTGGTGGAGGACACTGATGACCTATCTGAGTACCAGTTCGTTGTGGAAGACCTGGACATGAGAACCTTTGAAAAACACTCATGGGAATTTCGAGATGGTAAAGAATGTATTTCAAGTCTTGAGAAAGTTGCTGCTTGGGTTAATATAATTAAAATATAAACTTGGGGTTCAGAATAGAATACAAATTCTGTGACAGAATACAGTCCGCTAATATTCTCCAACGGTTTCCTTTTCAACAGGAATTATTTTAGACTTTCAAATTGAAAATCTGACTGAAGAGGAATTTCTTAACAAACAAGAAACCAACAGAACAGGCTGGTACCAACTGACGGGAGCTTCAACACATCGTAAGTGAGAAGACAAGTCACTATGTGAAAACTATCCACAAGCAAAATGTGTACTGGGCAAATTAAAGGGTAATAAAAGTACTAGCACAGCTCCAAAAATGAAGTCCTGTGAAAGATGATAGAATATTATTAATCTGTCCCGTTGGGAAGGCCCTACCTCCCATGTCCGAAGGAAGCATGCTTCCATTTTTTGAAAACTGTGTCATCCTTGTGTGGCATAGAAACAGCATAAATCTTGAGCTTTGAAGCTTTTCATGGTGAAGGTGACAAGTTAAGTAAAATATCTGCTGTAATGCATGGCCCTACCACAAACCTTTTACTTAACATCATAAATCTTACTCAGCAACTTTCCTTTTGATTTTCAAAAGACCGTCTGCAGAAACTGAAACGTAAGGAGCAGAAACTGGAGAAGACCTGTACATCTAATTGTCAGCGCCAAGTGGTCAGACTGATAAGAATGTTGAGGCCCCGGGTAGTAGAGAGAGGAGTGGAATGCACCCAGGAACCCAACACAACACCCAGACAGAGGGGTACTGTTGTACCAACTCGAGGTTGAAATGGGCTTCTAAGCCTACCAAGTGAAAGACAGGTGTAAGAGCCTATCTTGTTGGGAAGGCCTGGTCCACAGCCAATTTTCCAAACTGTGATTACTTCTTTAAAGGTCATGAAAGTATTCTCTTTCCCCTTTTGGGTGGATTGCAATCTGAAGACCAGTTCAACAGAGTTGGAATTACCCCCAATAAGGTTTGAGGGGTGCAAACAGAGGTATTGGAAATACCCATTTAAGTGGGTAGCATTGGTTGAAAGACAGTATGATTCCAGAGGCCATGACTTCCTGACGTGAAGTCAATGCTTTTCTACACTGAGTTGAATGTACACAGAAAACCTGACAATATTCAGGTAGGAGAGTAAAGCTGTCTCATCTTGGGTTGGGTTGAGAGAGGTGGGTGGTCGCCAAGTTCAGAACTCATCTTGGTTAGGACAGATTTACATATGATTCTCCAAAGAATTTATTTATGAGAAAAGACAGTTAAACACGTAACAGAGGATGGTAGATGCCTGCATTTGTGTTTCCATGACTAAAGAAGGGAAATTTTCATTAATTTACAACAAGGTTTTTCCTAAGAAGACTATCCCCTTGAAAATGACAGATTTACTTTGTAAATATTTCAACTTGTACGCCAACGACCTTTTTCAACAGTATTCAAAAATGAAGGACTTGTACATTGAAATGTATTGTCTATTTGTGAAAAAAATTAAACTGCAGTTTTGATTAATAATATATTATATCAGAAATAACTATATAACACAGTAGAAAGACTGCAGCCTAATTAATAATGTACGATTTCATTTTTGCTATTGGTATGATCTGCATGTGAGCTTTTTCTACATGAATGCATCTAGCTGGTATCTAAATGCCCAACAGGGTATACTGTAGCTGTATGTAAAATATTATTATTACCTTGTATTTGTGGATATTAATATCTGTAAGAATACCTGCATTGGGGTTCACTATTGTAGCATAATAGGCTACTTTGCTTCAAGAGCAACGATGAAGGAAACTAATACCTGAAGGTTTGATCAGAGGACAGGTAAATTCCAATATTGGAAATCAAAGCCCTGCAAGGGTATTCCTTCAGCCTGGCTAAGAAATGTAATCACTGACACAAGTAGAGTTATGAAGTTGTTTATTAGGAATTTAGTATCATAAAGAAAAACAGCATTTCACATGAATGCTAGATTGTAGGTACATTTGAAAATGTACCAAAAATAACAGGGATATCGGATGGTCACCACAATCTTTTTGAAATGACATTGTGAAGTGATTTAAAAGGTGTTACAATCTCTGAGGACATGATGAGAAGGCCTGTCTGTTACTTGAGTGTACCAAGTAATGCTGAGGTGAACATATTGTTTGATAATAAAAAGCACAAAAAGTTGTAAACTGAAGGAATAAACTGCGCTGGAATAAGTGCATGTTATGAATGTAGGCATTTTCTTAAGACGTCCAGTTTGACAGTACTAATAAAGGGATCCCAATATGATGCATTTAGCAATGATCTGCGCATTGTTTGAAAATGAGGCTCTATGTGTCAGCTTCAATTCTTAATACAATCAGACGATTGAAAGTAAGGAATCAAGACTCAAACTATATAAAGGTATGTTAAATTCAGACTTTTCAGCCTGCAAATTTTTGAGGAAGAGTCTTTCAGGATGACTCGACAGGTAAAATCAAAAGAAAAATAACGACAATTCACCGTGAACTAACGTTGGCCTACTGCGATGGTCGTGTATCTGCAAATGCAGTGGGCGTAGTTTAAAGTGAAGTGGTATCACACTTACGATCCGCATACTGCATGTACTGCGTCAACTCTGCCGGCGCACACGACCAAGTTCAACACAGAGAGCCTCAGTTTCGATGCGGATATGCGCAGACGGTGCTCATGTGAAATCCCTCTATAATCAATCTCAAAATGCTGAGTTCTTTACAATAATGCAAATTAATCATGCAGACTGTGATAGGCACAGGATAGATCTCCAACTTAACATCAAGTGATAATAATATTCCTGTTGTGTTACTTAAAACTCCAATTTTTGAGACCCTTTTGCTGTTGCTATGCATGGGTAAATGATCTTTGTTTGGTGGGGGAGGGATTACACACTAAGTTCCCACAATACTGCATCTTAGTCATAACAGCCATATTAATGCCATTCACACTTTACAGTAATAACAGTGTTAAGTTATCATTTCCAAGGAATTCAAAATGAATTTTTCTGATGTCCAAATGGGTATTCTTGAGGCGTTAATTCACTGGCCTTGATACTGATGTAAGCCCGTTGTGAACAATCACCTTGCTTTCCTTCACAAATAGAGAGAATTTACGTTGGCACAGCCACTGTAGATGCAAAATAAGGAGGGATCTCATTTGTATATAAATTCTATTCAAGGCAAAATGCCTCATGACTAATCACAGGAAGTTAGCAGTTACTCTTTCTTGTTTCTCTTGATTTCTTAGCTCCTTTCATTTCTTCTTAAAGAAACTCATCAGTGATCGCTGCTTTGCCTTTCCACTCCCTGGAGACATCTTTTTCTGCTTCCCTTCCTCCTCTCCCCCTCTCTTAGCTCCGCCCTCTTTTGGACTGGGTTGAGATGGAGCAGGCGTCATCTGTTTTGAGGGTGGAGCCTCATCTTCACTCATATCAGTCCAGTCACTCTCCCATACCTTTTCTGTGACTATTGGCATTAAATGAACAAAACCTTTATTCAAGCAGTAACTATGGGTTTTCCCGGCCTATTTCGGAAAATGCGCTGTTTAATTCATTAATTAAAAATTCAATTTGGCATAGATTTGAAAACGACTTAAAACCTGGTTTTATTTTCACAATATGAGCATTCGACTTCATTTTGCATCTTTCAAATAAATGTGCATTATGTTTCATCAAAGAGGTTACAAATCAGTGACTATATTAGGATTTCAAGTTGACGTATTCTTTGTCAATTGAAACCAATGTGCAATCTTATTTGCTAAAAATCTTTTACCGTAAACTGTCGGTATTGAGTTTTTATTTTCATTTGCTATAATTCAAACTCACAAAATCTGCGTTCAATTTGATTAGAAATATACAGGGTAACAGAAATCATTACACCACTATGATAATGGATGTAATGTTACTAATGAAGTGTAGCGCGGGGATCATACATGCATTTCAAGTAATAAGGTTTAGCGCATTACATGTCGTTGCTGTGGTAAACTGTACATCGGAGAGACCAAGCGCCGCCTTGGTGACCGCTTCCCGGAACACATGCGCAGTGTGCGCCAACAAACACCTGATCTCACTGCTGCGCGCCGCCACATACTCTTGGTGACGTAAGCGTCTGCATCCTGCGGAAAGCGTCATCTGATGTACAGCGTAAGGAACTGGAGCAGCGCGTCATTTTCGAGCTTGGAACGCTGCATCCAGGGGGAATGAACGTGGATTTTTCTGCGTTCATTCAAAACTGAATCTGCTTGCTCTGAAGAAGGTACTCAGTTACCTAAAGCTCGACAATCACATATTCCAGAGCACTGATTTTATATTATATTCTTGTAAAGAATTGTAGTGTGTTTATCAAACTGTACATCAATTAAAGTCACTGATTTTTCTGTATCTTCCTGTTCAACCATTGCAAGAAGGCCATGTGTAAACTTTTAAGTGATTGTGGCAAAAACATATGTTTGTATAGGATTCGTATAACAGTATGTTTTTAAAGACAATATGATTGGTCTATTTCAGTCATTCAAACATTTAACCGATCAACAAAACACTTCTAAGAATACAACTTCTGTTAGCACACAAACAAATTCCAATTCTTGACCAGGCATACCTTAAATAACACGTGTGAAATCGCCTGCACATTTTGCGAAATAGATTGGGTTCAAATTAAAATGAATGCAGGATTGCAGAGGTATGATCAATTTCGCGCAAAAATGAATGTCAACATTCTAAACCAGTGCAATATTGAGAAATTGTACACTGACTTTATATAACTGAATGTACCCTCACTAAAATAGAATTTTTATTTGTTAAATAGAAATGGGGATTTGAATGTTCATTCCATTTCACTTGAAAACGAATGCTGCCATAACTAATTCATTTGCACATTTTCCGAAATTGGCTTGGGAAAACCTATATTATTGCCACTGAAAGAACAGGATTCCGTAAAAAAAGTGACTGTAATGTCCTTCCATTAATCAGAGAGATCAGTCTCTTTATGCTTGTGCGCAGCTTTTATTTTGCTCTGCTTTCAACAATTCCAAATTTTGTTAGTTTCAGTTTGAAAAAAAAACCACCCAGATGACCTACCCATGCAACCATCTGCATCTACGGTGGTCTTGTTTTTCAGCACTCTTTTCCTGCGTCTTTTCTTCCCGCTTCCAGGGGAAGTAGTGGCTGGCTCCTTCGTTCCAGGTGCATGTGAGGATCTGTCTGTAATATCTTTGTTCTCACTGTCAGATGAGGGGTTCATATCAACCGGATCAGGGGGAGGGGTAGGGGGGATTGGACTGTCTTCCATATCTGCAACAGACAAGCAATTTATGGTTTTACAATCCAAGCTAAGCAGGTAAACTGGTCCAAATAAGTGGTCTTGAGACCTTTTTTGTGGTCTCAGTCTTGTCCTATCAGGAGGGTTGGTCTCGGTCTCAAAAGTGCTGGTCTTACCCTTGGATGTCAAAGTCTCTGGTCTCCCCCTCGAGACCTGTCGAGAGCACAGCAAATGTGCACCTAGCTACCCCTCATGAATACACTCGCCAACTGACCTCCACACGAGTCTAGTTTCCAAACATGAATGTAAATATGACACCGTATTTTCATGATAAAGAATGAAATCGATGCTTGAATGCAGACCAGTCAATGCAGTATGCTGCAACCTCTTCCTAAATTGTTACTTTATTTCCAGTACAGGAGACAGCCTTGGGAAGTATTGCTCAGCACTATGGACACGAGGTTGGTAGCAATGAAACTTGTACATTTTCACTGGCACACATCCGCTGATTCGTGCATGTGTTTATGTACAATGTAAATGTTTATATTACGCATGTGGCTTACTTCATGCCTTCATTCATATGCTACATGCTGTTACGTTATGCGCTACCTTTTGTGACATCATCAGCTTCAAAAACTTCAATTTGGAGAAACATCAGGGCAGTGCCACATCAGATGAATTGGCAGTAGTGGTTTTGTTTTAAGAAGTACAGGGAACTGACGGGGAGCGGAAAAGGGGCAGGAAACACTGTTCAGAAGGCAGCTTCAGGGACATGCAGGATAGCTTCTGCTTTCATGTGACACCGTTATGTAAAATGACTTCACGTTTCGCAGTAGCACCACTCAAAGTATCCTTCACTTAGCAACATGGAAGTGCCGGTCTTATCTGCACCAGGTTTGAGTGCTCCGGTTCAGCGTGTTCAGCACAGATGGAATTATAATGAGTCCTCACTGTGCCAGAATTCCTGCTAAAATTCTTGAAACTCCAATGTTAAATGGGTCATTCCATGAGGTTGAGGCACAGTTTGTTGAGGTGACAATTGTTACAACAGCTATTTCCCTTCGTTTGGATTCCCAATTGACATTGTTATACATCTTGCAAGGCCGAATATAGCAATGTGTGTTGTTTTTACAGAGTAACTGACATACTCTACAGGTCATGACAGGTGGTAAAAGTTTTGGATGTAACAAGGACACCGTCACAAGTTGCGCCCCAACCTCATGGAATGACCCACATGCAACAACAAGCTATGTTTTTAAGTGTACAGAGATTAGATAGATAGACATACACCTGCTAATGGTACTGACATGTAAAAAGTCTGCAGCTCATCACAACTACATTGTATTTCCTAAAGGTAAAATAAGAAGTGTCAAATCTTGAAGAAATATTCAATTGATTTATTTTTGATGCTGTGTTGCATATGTTGATTTCTTTATTTTATACTTTCAGTATAATGTTCTCCTCTTATGTTGCCTGTTCTCATTTATCTTTGTATAAAATAGTGTACATTTTTAATGTTTAGTATCAGTCTCGGTCTTGGAAGTCCACGTCTCGGTCTCGACCTGCAAAAGTTTCAGTCTCGACCTGCAAAAGTTTCAGACTCAACCTGCGAAAGTTTAAGTCTCAAAGTCAACGTCTCAGTCTCGGACTCAAGTTCTCGGATGCAACACTGGTCCTAGACATTCCCCATCCTGGTAGAATGGAAACACAGTGGGGACCAATTTGGCAGACAGATTCACATCTGTGATCGAGACTTAGAGATTGCCTCAGAGGTTTTTCATCTTGGAGGATCACCAAACTTTGAATCCAGTTAATAACAATCCAGAGCAAAGTCTACTTTACAGATGAGTACATGTATGCTCCAATGAAAAACCTATGTTTCCTCACCACTTAATTCATCTTCACTGCTGCTGCTGCTGTCTTGTTCAATGATGCGCCGTCTACGTTTTCTTGCCTGCCTTTCTTCCTCTACAACAAAGAAATAGGTCCCATGATTAAGGCTGAAGATCAAATGTTACCACAAAGAACTGTTATTAGCTCAATGATGAGTAACTTTTTTTGTGGGAAATTTTCTGTATCTCCATGTGAAGTGTAACTAAAGCCAATAAAGAATCTGTTATGACCTTGACAAACAATTTCCCAATTGAACATATATATGAATGTGGAAGACTATCGTCATTGCTGTCACAGAATCACCCAGCTTTGAACCATCATAAAACCCTCATCTTTGTCACGGTGCAACTGAATTTTACCAATCATTGTTTACAGTTGTGTTGATGTTGTTACTAAGCACTTTGGCCTTGATCAATGTAAAGAACTCACCCGAGTCTGAGTCAGACACCTCTATCTTGCCTGCCTTCCTCTTAACCTTGCCTCCAGTGTTCACGTCTTTTTCCATCCCTCTTATTTTGTCTTGTGTATCCGCGGGCTTAGTCACTTCTCGTGCTTTGTGTATGGTTGATGGTTTGCTTGGCGGTGATGATCTGTCCTCTTTCTTTGGTTTGGCTGAAGAGGGTCGGTTCAAGAATGCCATCATACCACCTTTGGCCTTACTGCTGAGCTGCTGAAGGGATTGGATACAGCAAGAGACTGTTCAAAGGTCAACACACCTCTGCTATTCAAGTCGATTAAAGTTGTGTTTGTGAGCAAGACACTTTACTCAACTACGGGAGAATTTTGAAATGGGTTGATTTTGAGAAAAAGTGCAAGCTATTATCTAAGCCATGGTGTATGCAGGCAAAAATTCAAGACTACTCCGACAGCCGGGGAAAATACCTGTTCCACAAATTTTCAACGCAGATATTTTTTCAAATTTTTAATGCTTTAGCTCCTGTTTTAGACGACATAAACTTTCTCAAATCCAACTCAAAACTCACCGTCTGTTTCTGCTCTTCTTTCATCACGCAACTGGTATCTGCTGATGAAACTTTATTATTCCCAGAGGCAAAGCCACCGAAAGAAGTAATCCGACCCTTCCCCGCTTTGTTAGTTACACTTCTCTGGGAATCCTGCTTCAGATTCTCAATAACATGCTTCTCTGCACTGCCATTCATTTTTGGCTGTGGGCTGGTGTCAGAAACAGGATAGCTTGAATGAGCCTCAAGTTCGACAAGTTCTTGAGTTGTTCTTGGCTTTGCCTCAATGCACTTGATAGCACTGAATCTAACATCAGAACAGAACAAATTCAAGCCATATTGGATTTGGCAAATGCACTCAAAGTTAAAATACAAGAAATATAAATCAAGAATGCTGAGAGTCAAGCTGGTTCCTGGGTATGTAATGCATGCATAATGATGTCATTTCCATCGCGCTGACAAAGACAGTTTTCACTAGCTACATTTCTTAATCAAGATTTAACTAATTAGTTGATCAATTTTTAAACAGCACCTTGAAAGAAATGTTTATAAAGTGTTTGTTGCTCTGTGCATAAATGAACTACTGGCACTAAGCATGTGCCAGCTTATAACCAGTCAAATCCAACTGAAGTTGAATTGTATCTTATTATTATCACCAATCACCACTTACTTTGAGTTAAAAATAATGCTAGTTACCTGTTTGGCTGTTTAATGTTGTCCTTAATGATCTGATAATCAGTCATGTAGAGACTGTTTGAATCTTTTAAGGCTGCTTTCTGAACACTGTAGACATGCTTACTTATGACACTTGTCATGGATGCTTCAGTCTCTGTACAAAAGGAATTACCATAGTCAAATTTCTCTATTGTTCATTTATTTGTATAGTCCACCTGATACCATAAAAAAGTGTGGAAGGAGTGGTGAAGGAATGGAAAAGAACTACTATACGCTAGAAATGTGAACAAATATTTAAATCATCCGCACAAAATGACACATTTTGGTATAACAATACTGTGATATAAATTATAAAACATACTTTCCAAATCCTTGTCTGCAACCACCAAAACTTTGTTGATACTGACTCCATTGTCGGCATTCTGTATTCCACTCAGAAGGTATGTGACATTGATGGACTGAGAATTTGCTTTACTCTCTTGATGTTGAACAAATGTTTCTAGCATCCTTTACAGAAAGCAGTTGAAAACACAGAGAGGATAAAAAGTATTCAAATTTTAATAGATTGATACACATTTTTGAGCAAAAACTACCGCTTACTACAGAAGCAAAGCACTAGACCAGCCAGTAGCATTATGCTCGCACAGTTTGGCATGAAATGTGTAGAGGAGTGCATCGCTTCAAAGTGGTCTTGTGACTTGGCGTAAATCAGTCAACTGAAGGTACATTTTTATAACCTAGGGTCCAAAAAGACGAAAACCTATGGTTATACAATGTAAGTAGAATTATTCAGAAAACATGGGTCCAGTATTTTAAGGTGCTTTTTATTTTCTCCTTTAATAGCTACTCCTCTGAAACATGTTTCAAACAGTTTAACCTGTCACATCCAAAACCATGTTTCCCGAATTCTTAGTAGAATGAGTGAGAAAATTTTCCTCCAAATAAATAATGGATCCACATAACCCCAGGGTTTCTTACAGACTTTTGTAAGTTCTGGGTTCATTGATCACAAACACATGGTCAATGGACTTACTGTTTAGCTTGGTTGACATGTACTGATAGTGTCTGACTTAACCATCTATAGGTAACCTGCAATGATCAAATTTTATGAAAATTAGTGTCATGCAATTGTATGGATATAAATGCTTGTTTTACTGACTAAATGAATAGCAAACAAGCAGACTAGTGCCTCCAACACGTCCGATTAACATGATTAAGTTGATAATACAGAGCATAGAGACTTTATCATGTTTATAATATTATGCGCTTCATAAGAACTGTTTATTTTTAATACTGTTATTATCATAAAGTCATGTCGGACTAGCATGTGTAAGTTCCACTCAATCAATGATACTGAATGAAGTATCATTCATAGGACAGATCTCACTAGCCTAGCGAACAAATGGGGCAAGTCAGAATACTCTCAATCCACTCATCTTTTCCTTAACGAGTTTTAGTTGTGAATTCACAGTTTGACAAGAGCAAAGTTACATGCTCAACCGTTTTGGCTAATGTAGCTTATAGCTATCTGGTTAGTAAACATGACGTCACAAGTCAGTTTAAACCATGCTCACTGAACATACTGTGGAGTTACATGAAACCATGGAGATGATGGAACCAAAAGGTAGTAACATGCCTAATGCGCAAATTGACTAGGCCTACCCCCAGAACTGTGGGGTCCGACGTCCGCCCCCCCCTCCCACGAGGGAGTGGAGCGGATGTCGGACCCCATAGTTTTTGGGGTACTGTCACGACCAAGTATAACTTGAAGCTTGACATGCTCGCTCCTTGAGGGCTCATTCAAAAAACAATGAAACATGTTGGAACTTGGAAGCTTGAAACTGCACTCAGTGATGCATGCGTGTGTATAACGAAGTCACTTTCAAACTGGATTGCCAGGCATTCGATTATAAGTAACACCCAGGCATGCCAAGCCAAGGCCTGGCCAGTACTACCGGCGGTAGGTCACTAAGTCATGAGCGTGATCAATGCATGATGATGAGTGTTTGACATATGCAGCGCATGACCTGATGACATGTCAACCAAATGTTAGAGCAAGTTGTAGGTGCTATAGTGATTCTTCTTAACTGTATTTTACGCAGACTTCGAAAACAAACATAACTAGTTTTAAGTATGACATTTAAATGATGAAATATGGCTTTTTACCACTTTGTCTTCGTCAAAAAGGAACTCCTCCAAGTTTTCCAAATACATATCACCCGCCATTTTGACATTCCACTGAAGAACGAATTAATCCATGCAAGAAAAGGAGAAATTCTAGTCACTTAGAAGGACTGCTAAAAACTGTTTGTAATATTACGCGCTCAAACCGATAGGTTCCAAAATCACGAGGGCGCTGTGTATTTTACTTGCGGCGCGCGCGCGCGCGCGACGACGGTGGATGAAGGCGTGGCCAGAGTCTCAAGAATTGAGGAGGATAATATAACAGTTTTGGTGAATAAAAGAGAAGTTTAAACATCCCTAAATACCTTAGTTGTACTGTCCTGCCTACTTTTGAGGTTTCTTTTTCAGGTCTTACTACTTTGCAAGAAAGACGTGTCCAGTTGTGTGTCAAATTTGCCTTGTCACTTGAAAAGTTTTTCCCCATTGGCCTACCAAGCAAACAGTCGGGACTCAAGAGTTTTACGACAAATACTGACCTCCCAAGCACGGCACAGAGCGTTGCAGGAAAAGTGCCATCCCTCTCCTTGTAAGACTAGTAAATGATAAATAAAATATTAGTGACTAGATGTTCCCTATAAGTTTGTAATTTTATAGTCCTATTTAGATTGTAATAAATGTCTTCTAAGTGCCACTTGGAACCATAGTTGATATGTCATAGTAAAATAATCTTGGGTTTCGAATTTTGAATCTACTGAAAGTACTCTATTTGATGATATCCATTTTCTGACGGCATCGCAGGTACCAATTAATACCATACACTTCCTTCATTTTAGCCAAAGAACATTCTTAATTTTTCTTCTTTATTGTTTTGTTTACAATTGTAAATATTACTTGATTATAGAATTTCCTTTCGCGGTTCAATTTTCATTTTTTTATTTCATTGTAAATTCCATTGTAATTCAGCCCCTAAAGCTGCAAGAACTGAATAAAATATATCTTGAATCTGTTCTGAGGGGGGAGCAACAGGATGAACTACAAACTTTTTCGACGCAAATGACAAAAAATAAACAAATAAATAAATAAAAATAAAGGCAGAAATGGTTCCATGAAGATCATTGCATAGTTGCGATTTCCATGGTGTTTGCAACGAATTATCCTGTTTTGTGTTTTGGTGCCACAAGATTTACAGTTTATATTTTGGAGACTTCCCTCACGTTTATCCCTGTAAATTTCTTCATCTAATCATTGGCATTTTCATTTCGAGGAATACTTTGCCTGAAGGTCTGTTTCTTTGTTGCTATTCCTGAAGTTTGTGAAGCTTTCGTTCTAAAGTTATCGACGACGACCCCCCCCCCCGCGAGTCATGCATTGGGCGCTGCCCTCCAACGAGTCACTGTAAAGGGTGCACTGCCCAATTCAAGGGAAATTCTTCGGCAGCCGGAGGCGCTCAAAACTTACCCCTTACAGTTTATTTGAAAAAGAGGAGATTGTGTGGCCCAAGAATTTGCGGAATTGTGAAAAAATGGCCTGGAATGAACTATCTAGATTCAAGGGCTCCCACCCCAGGGCGAAGCATAGAAAAATGCCACTGAAAAATTGTCCCAAGAGCCTGAAAAGGTGGAGGGATGTCATTTGAAAAATGGCTGCTGACGGACCTGGGAACGTTCACTTTTTGGAAGGTGAGTTTGTTTTGAGTGGATAATTAAAAAATTC